TTTTCCCCTTTTTTTTCCCCCTTTTTCCCCCCCCCCCCGATTTTCAACTTTCAACCCCCCTCCCTTTTTTTTTTTGTGTGTGTTTAATTTTATTGCGCCTCCTCCAGCTTTTCATTGCCGGTTTTAAACTTCCTCCACTTTTATAACTTACTTTGATCTCTCCTTTCTTTGTCTTCGCTTCCTTCACAAACTTTATTATCCTCGAAGGGATGGGGAGCGATCCCTTCCCGGCCGCCCGCTGCTTCTAAGTTGTATTCCTGATTTTTTGGGGCGTCTCCAGAAGTTCTGGGGAGCAGCGGTTCGGTTTTGACGGATCCAGGGATGCTCTCGGAGCGGGGCTCGATCCAAGCCCGCAGGAATCGCCCCTCGCCCGGCGAGCTCTGCTGCGGGAGGAACGGCTGGAACACCGGAGGAGGAGGAGGAGGATGAGGATGATGATGATGATGGTTCAGAGGAGTCCAGGAAGAGCCAAAAACCGCGGGTTTGGGTTGGAAACTACAGGAAGGGAATTCTAAATGTTCGCTTTGTCTAGAAGAGAATTGGCCGGGCGGGAATTTGGATGAAGGAGAATCTTCGCTCTCATGACTTATGATGGAGTCGACGTAATAATTGCTGAGGGTGCCGGAAATGGACATTTTTAGGCATTATATAAAGAGCGGTTCGGTGGAGGAAAAATTAAAAATAATAATTGGGGAGGGAGGGGGAATAATGATAAAATCGGGGAGTTAAAAAGTTGAAAAAAATTGGGAAAAAATTGGGGGGAAAATGGGATAAAATTGGATTAAAAAATGGGAAGGATGGGGGAAAAAATTGGGGGGGAAATGGGGAAAAATTGGGGTAAAAATAGGAGAAAATGGGGAAAAATTGGGGTAAAAATAGGAGAAAATGGGGAAAAATTGGGGAAAAGATTGGGGAAAAATTGGGGGGAAATTGGAAAAAATATGGGAAAAAATTGGAAAAAATAAATTGGAGAAAGATGGGAAATAACTGGGAAAAATATAATTGGAAAAAATAATTTTAAAATAATTGGAAAAAAATAATTGGAGAAATAATTGGAAAAGAATAATTGGAAAAATAATTGGGAAAATAATTGGAAAAAATAATTGAAAAAAATAATTGAAAAAAATAATTGGAAAAAATAATAATTGGAAAAAATAATTGGAAAAAATAATAATTGGAAAAATAATAATTGGAGAAAAAATAAAAATTGGAAAAAATAATAATAATTGGAAAAAAATTAACCTCCAAAAAAAAAAAAAAAAAAAAAAAAGAAAGAAGAAACGGGGAAAAAATAAAAATAAATATATATATATATAAAATATATATATATAGAGAGAGAGGACAGCTCTAGATTTGTACTCTACCCCCTTTCCCCAACTTTCCAGCCCACAAAGTACAGTTGCGCTGCCGTGTTGTGAGCTGGAGGCGAAATGATTGGTCAAACTTTTTTTCGTGAGCCTGATAAAGCGTCAGGCTCGGAATAAATCAATCGCGGCCGAGGGGGCTGCGCTGCGCTGTCATCCGCCCTCGCATTCCATATCAAGGATGGATTGGTTTGTGTTTGTGGCAAAACGTCAGGAGAGGACGGGAAAAATAATAAAAATTAAAAATAGAATGAATAAAATATATGAAATATATAAAATAACCGAGTTAAAGGGGATATTTTGATTTTTTTTTTTTTTTTTTTCCCCCGATTTTTTCTCCCCTGTAGGGTTTGCTGCTGGAATATGGCGGGTCTCAAAGGAGGGATGGGGGTGGGATTTTTATATATTTTTTTTAGGTTTTTTAATCTTTTCTGTGTTAAAGGAAGATGTTGAAGCGCTGCTTTTAACGGCGATCAAGGGGGAATTGGGTTAAAAACCATTTCCAGGGGAAAAAAAAGCCCGCAGGGAATAAACAACCGCCCCCAACCCTCTCCCGGCCGTGATTTCACCAGAAAAAGACTCAAAAATCCGCGTTTTTGGGTAAAAAAAAATAACCGGGGAGGGCGATATAAATAATTAACCCAGGCTGGGGAGGAGGGATGTTCAACCCGCCCAAAGAACCAGGGAAAATATGAAATTTAAAATTAAAAAAAAAAATATTAAAATTCAAATAAAATCCCAGCCGCCCAAGCCTCGGGCCGTGAAATTCTGTGTATTCCTATGAAACTCAATTTAAAAATTCAAATTAAAAATTCCAAATTCTGCCGGAGCTGGAATAACTCCGGCGAAATTCGGCGGTTTTTTGACCCGAATTTTACGAGGCCAGTAAAAGCCGGAGCTCCACGGAGGCGGCTTTGTTACGGAACGCCTCAAACTTGTGATGTTTAAAGAGTTTAATAAAACTTACATCGGCCTCGCTTTGATTTTTATAGCCTCGGATTTATTGCCCGGGGGGAAAAGGGAAAAAAGGGGTAAAAAAAGGAGCTCCTGCCACCCTCGCTTCTCTCGGATTTTGGGGTTTTTTCGGTGTTTTTCACCTCAAAATCTGAGATTTTGGGGTTTTTTTTTTAATATTCCCAAGCGCTGAGGATAAATCCATTTATGGCGGCATGGTAAATGTTGGGTGAAGGGAAAAGTGGGGGGAAAATGTGATTTTTTGGGGATTTCTGCAGCAGCAGTCGGGCTCAATTTGTTTATTTTAATCTCCTGCCCCTCTCACCCCAACGGGAGAGGATTTTGGGAATAAAGAGAATTTCTGGGAATGATAAATCATCGCGGATCCTTCCCGGAGATCCCGCCATGGAAATCTTTATTAACAGCCCGATAATAACGGGGAAAAGGCGTTAATAACCCCAAATGAGGGGGGAAAAAAATCCGATTTTTGCTTTTCCTCTGGCGGCCGAGGTGGGGAATTGGTGGCGGAGGTGTCGCGTTAATTACGGGGGATGATGAAGGTGATTAAAAATCTCCCATCCCAAAGGTTTGATGAGGTTTTCCTCCAGCAGCGCCGATTTTCCATCAGCTCCAGAGCAGGGAGCGGCTCCTCCCGGCCGGATTTCCTCGGAAAAAAAAGAGTTTTTAGGGCTGGTTGGATGGCAAAAAAATCCTAAATTGGGAGGGTGAGGGGATGGGGAAGGGGAGCAGGAGGTGGAGGGGGGAGATCGGAGGTTAAATCTCATTTTTGGCACCTCCGGGCAGCCCCAAATCCTCGCCATGGGGGCGGCTCGGAGGGATCGGGGCAAGGGCAGCTCTGGGGACAACTTGGGGACACTTTG